AGCCGTCAGCTTTGCCACTAAAGCCTTGGAGAAATGGAAACAGGCTCACTAGGCTGCAGGCAGCATGGCAGCATCAGCATCCCTCTCTGAGTCTGCTCTTTTCTAACCTGGAGTTTCCCTCGTAGTCCTGTTCACATCAGCTCAACGGCACCTTGGCTTTAGAAAAGGCACAAACAACTTCTCACCTCCTGACTGTGTCTCAGATTGGGCCCTTGAATGTCCAGGGAGTATGGTTTTATTTTCCAGAAAGATATGGCTCAAGTTTATTTTTATAATTATCACCCTAGCTCCACATAAACAGTGCTGTCCTAATTTTTTCTTTCTTCACTGAGTTATAAAGTTTGATGACCAGCAATGCCAGAGGAATCAGAATGACTGCTTCTAACACTGAGTGTTTGTGTGGTCTAAATTGCATTGCTTCCCTCCCTGGGCTGCATAAGAACATGATATCATATTGCACTCTCCTTTAAAAAAGACAGTATGACTCTTGATATGTCTTGCCAAAGGCAAAAAGAAAAAAAACAGAAATCAAACCAAACAAGAAAACTCTGCATTCTCCTTCAATTGCCCATTATCAATCCAATGCAGACCAGTATATGATTAAATGAGCTTCATTTAAAGCATAAGAGGTTGTAGATAAATATTTCAAAAAAGTTTCTGGAATATTAGGGGCCAGAGAACACTAAAATGGGCTATTGGGATAGGTTAAATGTTTTCAACTCTCAACTACTTCCAGGAGAGAGAACATTTTGCTGAAGGGGAGATTTAATTCTTCATTTCTCTGAATACAAATATAGAACCTATGTTCTTTCAAAACACTTTCAAACTATAAGAATCTGATTTGGCAGAGCAGTAGTGTTGGGGGAGGAAAATGCATGACAAACCAGGTGATTCTTCTTCATTGTTTTTTTCATTGTAGAAGCAATTATTGAGTGGCTAATGGATGCTCCTCTAGGTACTCGCCAGTCAGCAACGAAGCAAAGCATTCATGTGACTTGCCTGCTAGCGTTCTGAGGTCTCTTACTAACTTCTTAAACTAATCAGAACAATTTCTCTTATTTAATTATTATGGGGAATATCAGAAATCATGTATTAATTCTTTTACTAAGAAAATGATTCAAGTATATTTGACATTATTTAACTTGGAAAAAATAAACATTTTTGGTAAATTAGATGTTATAATCAGGAATTTCTATGATGTTGAAAAGACAATTATTACTTCACTTTTTGTTTCACTATTGACATAATGATAAGTATCATCCTCCATGTGCAATGGCTTTATGTAATACATATGCCTGCCAAAATGTGATTTTCCAGTTATTTCTTAACGTGAAAATGATGTATACCTCCTCCTGTGCCATAAGATACATTATATCTTCTCAAGTAGAAAACTCTGCTGGCCTGCATCAGGAAAGCCATTCTCATGTGGCACTCACATGGATAAATATAAGTGACTATTCCACAGAGAGACTCTGTGGTAGCTAGCTCATCTGTGAGGTCGCTTTTTGCCACAGAGCACCAGTTTATGAGGTGCTGGAGCACAAAGTTAATGTGGGCTGCCTTGCCTGGCTTCATCACTGACCTCATCAAGTTTGACATGCTTCACCTGAAAATAGGAATAATGATTCCTCACCAGCATGGAAGCAGGAGCAGCATTTTGGGGGATATCTTCAACTTTATGATTTACCAAGTCAGTGTAGTATTTTCCCCAAGGAGCTGTAAGTTGGTAGTAACTTCAGCCTATTTTGACACAAATAAAGCATCAGGGCCAAGAAAAAGGTCCAAGACAAAAAAAGTAGAAGGAAGTAAAGTCACACAAAAATGAGACTCACTGGCCCACTTCTTTACAAAATTTCCACTCTATAATTGCAGCGTATTTGGAAAAATGCAACCTCAATTTTGGGAAGAATGAGACATTTTCCTTGCTGTTACATACACATGAGCGTGAGGATAAGGATGACTGTCACACCTAATATATACATGGAGATAGCAGATCCTCAAGGTGTGAAAGATCAGTCACCAGACTCTTCCTTTTCATTCTGAAGATAAAGACAATGAGTACACTTAGGCTAGTTGTTTTTCGACCAAGGTCCCAGGGCCTGTTGGCAGTTGACCTGGAATACATACCCAGATCTCTTCATTTCACTTTCAGCAATGGATGCTGGTTCTTGGATTTCTCCTGCCTCATCCTCATATCGACTGGCACATTAGCAGAACAAAGCAGAGGAGTGATACCTCCAAGAGTTTCAAAGACGAGACAACCACAAGCTTGCAGCATACATTTCAGAAGCTGCGTGTTATTAAATTTCTCCTACTCTGCTAAAGAAATGTGACCAGTGAGATGGCATGGCTGCAAATGTCCCTAACTATCATGGTAATAAAAGCCTAAAGTTAAAGTATTGATTCTGGGAATCCAGCATGCATTGACTCACGTATCAGCACTTCAACTCGTCACATTTCAGTGACAGGGGCAGGGCTAAGAGGTACATGGTCTAAAATTCAACTCGTTTCTGGCACTCAGGAAGCATTCACGAGCACAGCAGCAGTGCCAGTGATTACAATGCTGAACAATGCTCTGTTTTGATTGAAAGATCCTTCAGTGGCTAAAGGTATCTAGACAGACATATCCAAATTAATATTTAAGTACTGCCACATTCAATCTATCCCCGTAAAGAAGTGCACACCAGTGATAGCTTTTTCTGCCTCACAAATATAAATATCCAGTGTCCCTAAATTTCTAAATGATAGAGAATGTAATTCTTCATTTTGGCGGCTATAGCTCAGCAGAGAGTTTTTTTTAACCGCTGAATTATACAAAATGGAAACATTGGGACTTCAGCTTTTTTTGGCCGCCTGACATTTCTAAATCGGCAAATTGCTGAACACTAAACAACAAAATTCAAACCAACAGACTAAAATGACCTCCAACATCAGTTTTTCTTCTTCAAGTACATTAAGACAAATTCAACAAAGCACAGTAACATCTGACATGGAACTTATCGGAGAGAAACATAAGAGAAGCAGGTGCTCTCGCCGCAGCTGACCTTGGCTCCAGCTCGAGCAGGACACCCCTCCCAGACCCATCGACATGCGCTTACAACTCATTGCATTTGTGATCAATGTGACCGAAACGTCTGGAGATAAAAACCTGCCGTGAAACACAGCTGCCTCTTCTCCCTTCTGACTTGCACAAAATTGATCACATATTCAGGCCAGATGATAACTTCATAGCTACGTGAAATTTGTATGAAAGGAAAAAAAAGTTATTCCATCTTTATATACACCTTTCAGCCAGAAAGATTCATAAGTACTGCCTGAAGATAAATTAAACTTTGGCATGGAATATAATTTATGAAAATTGCAAACTACTTGAATCAATTCCACCAAAAAAGATACTAAATCTTGATGACTAGCAAACTTCTTCAGAGAAATAAAATGTGATGTTTAAATAGAAGTAAAACAGCAATATAAATTTAAAAAAAATATTTTTAATAGTAAATCATGTCACTTATGTAGGTTATTAATTAAGTAAATGCCTTGTCATCATAAAATTGCTTTTAATCACTTATATATCAGCTTCTGCTGGATATGTAAAACATGACAGATGAGGAAAGAAATGTGCTTCCTGCTGAGAAGAGAGACTATAACATGCTCTGTTACTTCTTTTCTTCTAGCTGGTGGACTCTTAGTGACTGCTTTCTTTCCTCAGAGGTAAAAATTGCACAAACCCAAATTTAAAGAAGCAGGTAAGAAACCCACTTTCTTTAGAAATTGATGGCTGATAACATTCCATGACTAGCAGCAAAGTTATTTAGTGAGAGAGTTGGTAAAATAAATAAATAAATAAGGAAGGAAAATTAAATCCGGGTTGACTGGCAAATTTTGGCACTTATTTATATCACTGTTCTAAGCATCTGAACTTGAAGTTTTATATAAGAGAAGCCTCTTTACTTTGATAATATTAGAATATCCCTGACATTTATAGCTCTATTTTGTACTTGAAAGCTTTACAAGCCCTGCTCAACCCAGTTTCAAAAAACCCTTTCTGAATTATAGCTATAAGGCTGATCTTTCCTACCCGGACTAATGTGGCTAAATTCATTCTCTCTCTCTCTCTCTCACACACACACACACATACACACACAACACACACATGACTGTGAGCTCCTTGAAAAGCAGTGACATTGCATAATTCATCTTTCAATCCCCAGCATTCAACAAGGTGTCTGACTTATTTTAGGTACTTAGCGACTATTTATGGAATTAATTAATTAATTAATGGCTCAGTGAAAGACATCTGAGCCTTTCCAGTCTCCACTACCAGCAGTAGCAGCCAGTTTAGAAGAACAACTTGTCTAAAGGTTGATTCTGAGTGTCACAGAGGGAGTGACCAGTGGGGAGATATCTCAAGATCCGGGCTGCCTTTCTGGGCAACTGTAAGGCAGTCACTAAGTGAAGTGATTTCAGGGAATATCAAAGAAGCCCCCAGTTTAAAAAATAGTAGTTCTTTCCCCTACCATATTACTGATGACTGGAATTCCTTTGAGATGGTGCAACATATTTCGTTCCACTGTTATTGATAATTACCAGGAGTCAGATATCACTAGGAAGAGGGAAGGGCGGCCCGCTGACTTAGAGTCGACACCTACTATGATGTAAATAGCTCATATATCCTTTTGCTAAGAGTAGATTTTGATTATAAGCATGAAAAATAAAAGAGGTCTCTGGACATCTGAAGATCATATGTGCAAGGATAAAATATACAAAAAGAGTCTAAGACCACTTCAAAATTTGCTAAGGAGTGGCATAATCTTTTATTGCTGTGGCTGATGAAGCTAGAAAGGAAGAATTTGCAAAATTAAATGTATAACTATAAATGCCTTATGATATATTTTAATCATTTCCCAGGTCTACAATAAAATAGCAGTTTTCCTTGGGCCTGGTCACATAGTGGTATTGTAGGATTTTTAGCACAAAGGGCACCTTAAGATATCCCCTACCTACAAACAACTGGCTATTCAGCTGCAATCGGAAATGTCCCTCCTCCGAAGTCTCCCTCGTCATCCTCGGGAGGCTGTCCACCTGGAGTGAGGTCTCCTTCAGGTTCCTCTCAGCCCGGACGTAATGCCATTGGTTGTCATTCAGAAGAGACGGAGACTGGACTACAAGCTCTACAGGGCCATTCCCAACATCAATGGCAAAAGTGATCTCAGAAGGAGCTGAAACCAAAAAGGGAAAGAGGAAGAAGGATGAAGGGAGCTGTCAGTGTGTTTAGGGCAAAAGCATATCCTGAATGAATAGTATAAATGATTGCAAGTCAATAGTTAGGTGGAGAGGACTTCTATTGAAATCCCTGCAGTACTGCAATTACCATTAATGGTGACAACTACCAAATCCTAAGTCTGAAGCTCTTTCATTTTGCCCAGTTGGTCCTCATTGTGAGAATTCTGGAAATAAGATAGGAACCAGGGCCACAAATGCTGATCTGTTAAACATGCATCAGTGCCAAGGTTCTGGGTTTTCTGGGTCTATTCCGTCTTCAACTGTGTCCTCCTAGATATCCATAGGTACTGAGTTTGCGAGGCAGCTCTACCCCTACAGGGAAAAGACCTACATCCTGGAAAGTCCAGTGTTGTTCTCCTCTTCTCCATGTTATTTCCTTAACACATGTGATACAAACATTCACGCAATTACTATGACTCAACAAAAAAGGAGGCTCAAAAGTTTAAGTGTCTTGTCCAAGGAGACATCATTGCAACTGGCAGTGCCTAGAATCAAACCTAAGCCCCCCATCCCACATTGGGCTGCTTCCGTGACTCTATATACCCCTCTATAATAATCTGCAGATCACAGAAGCCAGGTCGCAGCCAGTCAGGGGTAATAATACCTCTGATGATGATGGTGGTGGTGGTGGTGGTGATGGTGATGGTGATGGTGATGGTAGTGATGGTGGTGGTGGTGGTGGATGATGGTGATGGTGGTGGTGGTGGTGGTGGTGGTAGTGATGGTGATGGTGATGGTAGTGGTGCTGGTGGTCACTGTGGTGGTGATGGTGGTGATGGTGATGGTAGTGATGATGGTGATAGTGGTGGTGATGGTGGTGGTAGTGATGATAGTGACGATGGTGATGGTGATGGTAGTGATGGTGGTGGTGGTGGCGGGTGATGGTGGTGGTGGTGGTGGTGGTGGTAGTGATGGTGATGGTGATGGTAGTGGTGCTGGTGGTCACGGTGGTGGTGATGGTGGTGATGGTGATGGTAGTGATGATGGTGGTAGTGGTGGTGATGGTGGTGGTAGTGATGATAGTGACGATGGTGATGGTGATGGGTGTGGTGGTGGTGGCAGTGTTGATATAACCATTCATAGAAAGAGAGAAGTAGCAGCAGCCCAGTAGGTACAATGAACTGTACATACTCTGCCAGACACTGTACTAAGCACTACCGTGGATTTTCTCATTTTAATCTTCAAAACAACCCTATGAGAAAGATGTCATTTTTATTCTCATTTCATGGATGAGAAAATTAAAGTTCAGAGAAATAGAACTAATTGGTCAAAGTTTCCCAGATAGCAAATAGAATCTGACTCCAAAAGTAGAATTCTTCACCATCTTTCTTTATTGAGAAGAGGAAAGTTGAATTTGTCATTTTTACAGAAGCGTGTTCTAAACCTGAAGGAAGTGGAGAGGTAAATTATACGTTGAGGTTCAAGAGAAGACAGTCCCCTTTCAGTAACTGGAGCCTTCCTATGCCAGACCTTCCCTTCCCTCTCAGCACCTTGTGCTGGCCACCTCTCCTTTACCCCCAGAGCAGGACATGGTTATTTATTTGACAAAGTCATCAACTGCTAGATCTGAATTATCAGCAATACCAAAAGTCACTCTGGACCTTTCCCAACCCAGCCTTTAAGCCCTAACAGAAAGCCAGCCTCAGTATACGAAACCCCTAATATGTGGAATTTCAAGTAACTCTGAGAGCTTGAATGGTTTTGCATTCTGCTGAATGTGAGCCCTGACCTTAAGGAGAGGCAATAAAGTAGAGGCCTTAAAAACGGAATCTGAGAGCACGGACTCTGGAGCCACTGTGACCTAAGGCAAGTTTTCTCTCTCGTCACGCCTCAGTTTTCTCATTTGCAAAATGAGAATAAAAACAGTACCTAATTGTCACGTTGTTTATAAATAAATCCTGATGAAGTTCTTAGAACTGTGCCTGGTGCATAGGATGTGCTAAGTCATGGCTATTGTTATTATTACCATAGTGGCATGGTTCACCAACCCAGGTAAATTGGTTTTAGCTCATAAACCTGTGCATTAAAGGAAGCAGAATTAAGGGAACAAATTGGGTTCAATAATTAAAAAATTGAATAAGAGCGAAGGTGGCCCTTTGAGCCTTTCCTTGTTTCTTATTTAGGCCACTGATGCCATTTCAAAACCTCCCACACCTTAAGATCAAAAAAACACTTGCTGATAGATGACTGGGTCCTAGATTTATCTCTCTCAACAGAACAGTGGTAAAGATTGGTGAGAATTGGAGGGAAGGAACGTTAAAGATTTTGCTAAAAGACTTCTTGCAACATTGGTCTTGTGGATATCAAAGAGGGTGGAGGGTTTGCTGCACCACCATCGGCCCACTACCCCCTGCCACCCCCACCTCCATGCTAGGTTTCCTGTCTGTGCTTTGCTCTGCTCCAAGATTTATCCCCCTGTTGTATAATGATCTGTTTACGGTCTGTCTCCCCCACCAGTCTGCAAACTCTTGATGAACACCTCATTTATTGGACACCCAGCACCTAGCACCAGGCCTTGTATACAGGAACCTCTCATCAAACTAAAGGTTCATTCATTAAAACATTGTTACACTGCACATACAAATGTGATTTTGCAATTTTAGATTTTTTTTTTTTTAGTTTTATACCAAGGTATTCGGTTTCTTGGAAAATCTTTTAAAATTATTATTGTTCAATTTATTTGTCACTATTAAAGACCTACTATGTTCAACCCACTCCTCTTAGAACTGGGAGAGAATCAGTGAAATGCAATAATAATAAGTATATTTATTGAGTGCTTACCATCAGCCAGGCATTCTGCTAAGCATTTTTCATGAATCAATTCACTTAAGTCTCAGTACAACCTTATGAGACAGGTAATATTTCACAGATGAGGAAACTGAGCCATAGAGAGCTGATAAGTTGCTCCAACCCAGATGGGACAGAGTCAGGATTTTAAATCCAGGTGATGTATCTCTGGAGCTCACTTTTTTTGTTGTTTTTTGGCGAGGAAGATGGGCCCTGAGCTAACATCTGCCAATCCTCCTCTTTTTGCTGAGGAAGACTGGCCCTAGGCTAACATCCATACCCATCTTCCTCCACTTTATATGGGACGCCACCACAGCATGGCTTGCCAAGCAGAGCGTTGGTGCGCGCCCGGGATCCGAACCGGCGAACCCCGGGCCACCGTAGTGGAGCGCGTGCACTTAACCACTTGCACCACCGGGCCAGCACCTGGAGCTCACTTTTTAACCCACTTTTCCTGTGACTAAACCTCCAACCTTGAAACCTATGCAGTTCCCTTGGGCGGTCAAAGCTAGAATATACAATATAGGCGCCTGGATACAATTGAATGAAAAAAATGTAAGTAAATGGATGATATATCCAACACTGGCTAGTGACTTTGTGGACAGAACATCTGAGGCAAACACAAGCTACCTCTCACTTGCTGAAGGGAGGGACACAACTCAATGACACCGGATGGGAAGGCCGGAGGGCCTGTGGCATCATTAGCGCTATCGTGAATCTATCTTCTGACCTCTTCTTCCCCCAACCGTCTGAAAAATACCTTCCCTCGTTATCTACTCTCCTACGGTTCAAGACAAAGCTAAGGAGTCACTTTAGCCTTTCAGTGGGTTTTTACCAAGCCAGGCACTGTGCTAGGCACTGAGAACGCAAGGATGAATGAAACAAAATGACCTCACAGGGTACTTTTGAGAAGACTGACGAAGAGCAGGAACGTTAAGTGGAGGAAAACGCCACAAGCATCAGAGAGTGTCTACCAAGTACTCCTAGGAGGTGAGAAGAAGCCTTCTAAGGAAAGTCTCCTGTATAATGTTCTTCCTGACTTTGGCAGGAAGAACTGACCACTGTGCCCCTTAGAGAATTCTCCATAGGGTCTGCACAGCACTATTGCCTGCAGCACTCAGCCCTGAGCTTCATGAAGACGAACTGAGACTCCATTTCTGTGCTCTTGACCCCTACTCCTTGCCAGGTGTGCAAGAGATCTCAGTGACCATCTATGGAACAAAGAAGAAGTTGCAAGGCCTTAATGTAGTCATTTAACCTCTCCGACTTTCCATGTATTCATCTGTAAAATGAGAAATATGCACTAAACGAAATGTCATTGAACTTTTTACAAGACATGAACTCTTTGAGGATCTAATGGCAGCTGTGGTTCCTGTCTCCAAAAAAAGGCACATACAGTTTTCCATAAAATTTCGAGGACTTTCTGAATGTCCTATGCTTTAAATCACTGAGAAAAAAAATTCCATTTTCTCTTGAGTCCTAACATACTTGGTTCTTGAGGCAGTTTCGCAAAGCAGAGTAGGTAGTTGCTCTAAGGAACAGAGACGCCTGGTTGAAACCTGGATTCTGACTTTCTTACTAGCTGTGTGACTCTGAGCGCACATCATTTACCTTCTCTAGGCTCACCTTCATCATCTGCATATTGGACTATGAGTTAAAAAATGAAAATCATAGTACAATAGCTTGATGATCACAGATAGGATTTTTTGAAAACACAATGAAATAATGAATGTAAAGCATTTAGTAGAGTGTCTAATCAGTGTTTAACGTGACAATTTAGTATAAATGGAATTATTAGTAGGATTAATTTTTACTATTCCTGAGCATCTGAGAATTGTATCTCTAATTTAATATCACATTTGGTAATATTCTTTTTTTTTTTTTTTTTGTGACAAAGGTCAGCCCTGTGCTAACATCCATGCTAATCCTCCTCTTTTTGCTGAGGAAGACCGGCTCTGAGCTAACATCTATTGCCAATCCTCCTCCTTTTTTATTTTCCCCAAAGCCCCAGTAGATAGTTGTACATCATAGTTGCACGTCCTTCTAGTTGCTGTATGTGGGACATGGGCTCAGCATGGCCGGAGAAGCGGTGCCTCGGTGCGCGCTCGGGATCCGAACCCGGGCCGCCAGTAGTGGAGCGCGCGCACTTAACCGCTAAGCCACGGGGCCGGCCCGGTAATATTCTTGATGTGATACCTCTGAAAACCAGAACTCAAATCAATCTCTCTCTCTCTCTCTCTATATATATATATATACACACATATATATATAACATACATATACATATGCATATGTGTATATGTATGTTATATATATATTCTTCACTTTTCCCAAGGGCTTGAAGGCTAGTACAATACGCCACCCCAAAATAGGCCACTTTAGCATAAGGATTATTTTGAGCTAAAGACAATTGAGAAGTAGCAGAGATAAGGAAAGCTCTCTGCCATCCTCCTATTTGTGTAAAAGCAGGACTCACATTCTCAGAGAAGTCCCTTCTCCCCTCTCTACCAAGAGAAGGAAAGTTAATTGCCTGAAGACAACTGTAGATCCTATCAGCCTGGAGATGGCACCAGAGAAATCTACATAACAAACTTTACTAACTAGCATTTTCTCTGCCATTAGAAGCCTAAAACTGCCTTCCATTGTCCTATCATTCCTCTATACATTTATTGTTCTTTGTTGAAGATGCTATATAAGCTGGAGTTCTAAGTCATCTCTTTGAGTTACTCATTTTTCTCTGGGTATCTCCCATGTATACATGTTAATAAACTTTTGTTTGTTTTTCTCTTCTCAATCGGTCATTTATTACAGGGTCTCAGTCAAGAACTCCGAAGTTTAGAGGGAAAATTATCTCTTCTCCCTACAGGCTTTAGGGAAAGCTACCTCCCTGCCAAGTATAAGGGTGGGCCCTGGAAAACCCAAGCTGCAATCTTTACTTTCCTGGCCAGAGGCACTGGTTCATAGGTGGTCAGATGAGTTGCCTATCAGGAGGATTTCATGGACAGATGGTAAAGAAGTGATTTCCCACCAGCTATAATGTAGCTCTCCCTTGAGAGAGAGCTAACCTTAGACTGAAGTAAATATTCAGAAGTCAGAGCAGAGAGAGAAATAAACTAGAACACTGATAACTCTGTTAAACTGCTGAATCCAACCAGAAATAGTGTCCCACCAATTCTGAACTTAGTCACATATCCCAGTACCAGTGAATTCCTATCCTTGTGTCTACCAGTACAGATTGAGTTTTCTTTTAATTGCAGCCAAATACATCTGGTTGGCATATGGGTGTCACCAATCCCATTTTGCATAAACAAGCACTGAGGGGGTGAAGAATTTGCTCACAATTAGACTCAGAAGAACAGAAATTTGCATCTGCATTGAACTCTTTCCTCTATGCCATGCTGACTCTACAGAGCCATTTCCTTCTGCTTCCCATCATCCACGCCAAAATATCTATTTCTATCTGCACAGCCATTGTGAGATAATTGTCAAAATAGCTAATGTATTTTTCTCAGTCTCATTTGAAACACATCCACTAAGACTTGAGGACATAGTGAAATATTTTGCTTTTCATAGAACACAGACTAATCTCAAGGCTAAAAAATTCAAATGTCTTAGTTGGAAGTGACCCAGAAGGAAATGGATTGAAAATTTCACTGAAACTTCTTGTTCCCTGTCCAACAGTTTGCATATACCAAACTTTGGAAGCTTCTGCTCACATAGTTATAGAGAAACACTCCTTGGGGATGGGAGAGAAATCTACTCTGAGCCACCACATCTGTTTAAAGGCCATTTCCTTTCTAAGTAGCTGATGTGTAGAGATACCTTGCTATGAACGCTTTAGGGTGAAAATTCCATCTGCATAAAAGGCATAGGATGAGTGTTATTACTAATAAGAAATGCAAGATCCCTCCCATTTGTTTATTTTTTTCTTCTAAATAATAATAATAAAACAAAATATTTTGGAAAATATGAGGCCTTGTACTTTAAAATTTTTTATATAACACCCTCTTGTTTTGAAAAGTATATGTTCTCCAATCTGGTGAAATAGGGTACACCGAACAATTACATCTACGAATTTTAAATTTTCATCAAGTTTAATACTACCTGCACTTAAAACATTTTTGTACAACTCAAAGGACAAAATATAGTACCAGGAAGTACAAACAAATTGGACATTGAAATGTAATTAACACTAAATCTTCACTCATTATCTTGTGATAATATGCCATGACATTTGCTGCTGTTTTAATGAATCAAAAGGCCTTGGGGCCTGATTTTTATTAAATTTACACTGAGGTTATTATACCCATATTATGAAATGGTTGGCACTCAACTGCACATTTTCAGAGCCCAGCCAAGTTAGGTATAAGGGATCTTATTTCACACTAAAGCCACAAGAGCTTCCTCCCATTAATAGACTAAATTGTTGTGGAGTAAAAGGAGGTGAAGACTACCGATTAAAGAGAGCTCTTTCCTTGTATGTCTTGTGCTGTAACTGCAAAAGAAACACTTAGCTGCTTGGGGATTGGCAGGAAACTTGTACCATCTCCTGCCACCAGCGCTTTTGTCTCTTTTTCTGGACTCTCAAATTGCTAAGTTTCTTTTGACAAGATATTACCTGTGCTTTCAAGGGTATTTCATGCAGTCACATCATTATTGTAATATGGTCAATTGCTTCAATCAAACTATAGAAAACATCCATTTAGACACAGATAAATGAGACACCTAATGACAAGCACGAGTCCTCAGGGCCATGGGTATAACAAGGTCAAGACAGTGGGAACGGTCCACCGGGTGTATAAGAAATAAGGGGGTACACTGAGTGTGGAGAATCAGAAAACTAGCAAAAGCAACTAAAAGTAGATCTGTTTTTTTATTATTGCCATGAACCAGTAATTCTAAACATCAGTGATAAAACATTCCTCCACTAAAAATAACTTTTATTGGTCTAAGTTCTACCAAATGCTGATGTTAGTATGAATTTTTAATAATGTATATGTAAGCTTCAAATAGTACATTTTATTACTTACCACTTAATAAATATTATATTCAAGAGGGAAGTTAATACAGCGAGTCCAGATATACCATTGTCTCCTAAACATGCAGACTCAAATATACGTGTGTTTTTTAAGAGTAAGAACTCAAGTTCTAATTTTTAATTTTTACAATTACTGTGCTATCATTGTTTAACTCAAATCTACCATTGAAATGCATGGATGTACAGTTCCACAGGGGTTGTGGACACAAATTGCATCCAAAGAGACCTCAAGCAACTTCAAACCCTCAGGAACTCTGTAATTTTCACCAGATAGAATAGTAATCATTGATGAATTTTCTGGTGAAAATATTTTAGTGATTTTTTTGATCACAGAAATATTTGAAAACAGCTAGAATTGATCCTGAAAAAAAAACACATGGATAGTGTTGCAATTTCTTGAATTTATTGTAAAATGGAATTTTTATGAATCTCCACCAGACTTATCCCTGTATTTAAAATCTTTTCCAAAATTTGTATATCTGTTGCTTTATGTGAAAAATATTTTAAATTTAAAATTAATAAAAAGTATCCTTTGATCAATATGAGAGAAGATAGATGCACAAGTCTGATTATATTCTCTTTTGAACACAAACATGCAAAGAAAATCAATTTTGATGAAATCATTGACAAATTTGCAGAAGTCAAGTCTAAGGAACAAATATTTTAATGTTATTACTATTACTGGAACAAATCAATATGTAGGTATGTTTAGTCCCTTTTTATAAAAAATGAATTAATGTAATTAAAAAGTATTTATTATATTTTCTTTTTTGCACTGGACTATTTTTTATTGGCATAATTGCATATAAAAGTTCAATAATGGAAAATTTCACCATCTGCATTTCTACTATTTTTCATTTAACTTTACGATTATTACTGAATATAACTTGTATATAGGAGATGGGATGTTGAAAAATGATCCACATCCTGGCATGAAATTCACTAGATACACTGTTCATGGCGAAGTGGTAGAGAAACAATGGGAATTCTTATTGGTCATCACAGGCTCCTTGTGGTGGGGAGAAAGTTAGGAAATTACTTTCAGAGCAAAAGTACAACAAAAAGGAAGACCCCAAATATGAATGGAGTGTATAATAATAATACTTTCAGCTTTCTATGGAAATTGTAACGAAAAAGGTCTGTGGTGTGGAAGCTTAAAGTCACAAGTAAGAAATACCCAGGGATCAGATAAAGGACATTGTAATAGGTATCTCTGGGATTTAGGGGAAAGCACTATTTTGAAAAGAAAATGACTGACTAAATACTGAGAGGAAATAATAAAACAAAAAACATTAGAAAGAACTAGAAATTATCATTGCTAATTTTACAGATGTCCAGTGAGATTAATTTGATAGTACAAACATGCACTAGTTGTTGGTGGCAAAGATCAGAGGAAAACTTCTTCTGTTGACCAGTTACATTAAATTCATAAATGAGGGCACTTACAGCTTATTTCAAGTCGGATGAAGTCTTTAATGCCAAGGTTTTCCAGGAAAACTCCAGATAAAGCCGTGGTTTTAAAAAAGAAGGAAATATCAGCACTGAATTCCGCATGGAAGGTAGGAAAGTGGAGGTAAGAGGCTTCTGTATAAAATGAGACCGCATTCCAGAAGTGTCCTGCAAATGAGAAAATCCTTAAGCATGAGAGTTCATTGTTTTGGCATGGGGTATAGGAAAGCATTGGGCATGTGGGTAATTTTCAAGACTGGGAGAACACTGCAGGGAAAAGGAATCGGAGAATAAAAACATCTCGTGCTTATGTAATGCAGAGAGAAAGCTTCTTTCCATTTAGTACTCACGGTCACCATAGCAACGCAAGGGACCAATTCTCCAGGCAGCTTCTGAGTTTGATCTGTTGGTATCAGTGATAACTATCTGAGTGACAGGCAAGTGGTCTTTGAAGGAAAGAAAGCCAGTATCATTTGTCCTGCAAAACATAAATTTAAGAAAAAGTGGAGCAAATGTGGATAATCTAGTGTCTTTTTACCAAGACTCCCTTTTCAACAGTGATTTGGGTGGTTGCAGCAGGGTGGGGGCAGGGAAAGGGATAACAGAAGGCCTTTCATCTCATAAGTATGTGTGAAAGGCTGGTATGCCAATTACAAAACTCATGGCCAGCTTCCAAAAACAAGTGGATTTTACATCTTCTCTAAGTGTTTCCAGAAACAGATAGTTTACACAGCTTGCTGCTTCTGCTTGTAGCTGAGAGCACCCCACCTGCCCAATGCTGTGCTGATGTAACATTAAACCTCTCCTCTCTTTCCATAGAGAGATCGGCTATCTCAGTAACTAACTGGAAATGAGCATCATAAATCCCACTTGAAATCACTCCAAGGAATTGTTTCAGCCACCTGCCAATAGGTTTTAATCAGCTTAGGATGTTTCTTATCACCTTTTAACTCTAGGTAAAAATAGTCTTACAGTCTTTACAATTACTGGTTGTTGCTTTTCATTTTGTTCTACGTTTTAAAGATCTTGGTAGTTAATGACTCTGGCTTCGTCCAGAAACTGACTAGTCACCCTTTGACAAGAAAGTTAAAAATGAATAGGGTTAAGCTATTTTTTCCCTCTTTTTAAGTTGTGTTCCACAACTTATGGTAAGGACCATACCATTTAAATGAGAGTAAAAAAATGTAGGTAAGAAACTGGCCTTGAATGAATAACTCTTTTGAGCCAAAAATATACTAGGGGATAAGTATATTTTTCCCACATAACACCCCTCTGCAGTAGGTGCCATTATTGCCATTCACAAATGAAGAAACTGAGGCTAAGACATTAGATAATTTGCATAAGGTCACACAGCAGAAGAGGCAGAGGCCAAGTCACATTCTTGGAATCCATCCCACGCCTAAATTTTACATGTATGCGATGGATACATGTTAATCTCAGCTGAATTGAATCAATACAAGGCAGTCTGAGAACTGCACACAAATGTGCTGGACTCCTCAACCACAGAGCCTCAGTTAAGCACAGGATGGATCATTTTCCCTGTACTTGGGAATTGGATGACACAGCACCAATATTCATGGCAAAGTATATGATGTAGCAATTTGATAACAAGAACACAAAGGAGCAGATACATATTGGCGCTCTCTGTCTAGCCACAAAGAAGTCACTTAAAACACTTACAATCAATGTGATATATATATATATATAGTGTTATATATATATAATGTAATGAAATACATCATTTACATATCATTTACAGTTCCTAGTTTAGAGACAAGAAAAATAATATCACAAATTATTAATTGGGGAGGCATGGCAAGGACCAAGTAGTGTGATGAAGTGCTTTAAGGACATAGCTTTAGAAACACACAGATTTGTTCTGGAATCCTAGTTCCTAGCTGTGTTAGCTTGAGTAAATCATTTCATTTCTGAGATTCCTCAGTGTTCTCAATTTTAAAATTAAGATAACGTCTACATCACAGAGCTATTGAGAGGATTAAATGAGATTATACGGTCATTTAGCATGGTGCCTGATCTATGGTAAATGTTCAAAAGTGGTAGTGGCCATACTATTTTAGTTCTCATCTTTGTCGCTGAACCACTCTGCAGCCTCAGGCAAGCCAATTCATCTTTTTATGCATCAGCACTGATTCTGTGTTGGAGATCTTATACTACACAGCACATTGTGGGAAATTGAATGTTTCAAGATGTGGCATCTAACTCATGACATTTGGAGGAAAACATATCAATTCATCTTGGTTATAAATAAATCAAATATTCACCTGTACACATACCCCTACAGGTCTATTAACCAAAAATGTAAAGAAATGCACTATCCATTATCTAAAATTTGAGTACCTGTATTCAGAGGCCATTCAAACTACCTAGAACAAGACTTTTGTTTCTATTTGCAAGCATATCTATGAATGATACATAGCCACAGAACAAAATTTGAGTTTTCTCATTCCAAAATCTTTTCGAGCAGAGATTTCAAACTAAATTCCAAGTAGCAAAGTGAAATAAAGACCAAACCCAGGTCCTCTCCTGAAGGCACTCTATATTGGTATAGGATTTTATTTCTCTCCATTTTCATTTTTAAGGTGAAAATGGTAGGTTCTGAAGGGTGTCCATCAATGCTAATTACCACCTTCCTCACACACTATGGCCTCTTGTCTACATCAATTTGATGTCCTTGTGTCAAAGTGTTGGAATATACAAATAGCATTCCAAGAATGAAAATCTCTTCCAAATAATAGAGAAAAAAACTTCATACTTAGTTTTGTGACACAAGGCACATTACCAAAAACACTTTTTATCTGAAAATTTAAAAAACAAGGAAACTTTCTCCAAAGTTGTTTAGTGCTATAGAAACAGATACAAACTCAAATGCCTACAGGGTCCAGGCAAGTAATAAAAATGAATGAAGCCAGCTTTATCTCAGATGATAAATGTAACCTGACACACAGCTTCAGTGTCAGAGAAAAAAAAAGAGAGAGAGAAAGACTGGTAGAAAGTAGATGTCTCGTCTAAGGAGGACAGTGATATCCATTAGTAACAGGTAATTATGCTACTCACGAGTGTAAGACCAGGGGCCAGACTGGAATATTAATGTAAAAGTTCTCAATTTTTAAATCTTGGCAATGAATTTAAAATTCTTAAAAAAAAAAGTGGTGAGAACCAACTCTGCATTGGCCAATCAAACTCAGGTAAGGGCTCTATTCAGCCTACAAGCAGCCTAGGCATCATAAGGACTTTGTATATTTATTCATGCTCTTAGGGTCACATTCAGAAAAAAATTGGATTTAATTTAATTTATGAGTCATAGGTATGACTCAAACATTTCAAAACATTAACGGGTAGAACATTTCTGGAGTGGAGGATGGTAGCGAATTTTAGCCATAAGAAAATGATACAAATTATGGTGCTACCTATGGATAGGCAAGGAGTCTACAGTTGTCGATTTGACTTTCGACACACTAATTTATTTTTCTTTCTATTTTATGTGAACTTGCCTTCTCAAAGGCAAGCACTTTATAGACTTTGTCTTCCTTTGGAGTGATATGTGAAGCCCTTCATAAGGATACAGGGTACTTATGTCCTTTGTAAGCACACAGGTGATAAAGTTGTAGTAGGACAGCATTGCCATTCATATCAGACTGACATGGGCTGAATACATGTGCCTCAACACACTAGCTGTATGATGTCAGTGAGGTCACTCTTGGCCTCAGTTTTCTTATCTCTTAAGTGGGGATAATGATACTAATTTTATATTGTTGTATAAATCAAAGTAGATAATGCATATAAAACAGTTAACACAGTGACTATCACATAGTAGAGACTCAATAGTTGTTGAAATTCCCAGTAAAGATTGAAATAAAAATGTGAAATACAAAGAATATTTAAAAGAATAATCAGGAAAGGGAGCCCCACTGTTGGCATGAATGAGCAAACCAGCCAGGGGTTCCAGCTTATGGAGGCTCTGAGGGCACAAGGAACAGACACGTGGTGCTCAAGAAGCACACGTGACCTAAAGGAAACAGATCTGTGTTAAGAAAAAGACTCAGATATTCTCGAGAGCTAAAGTATGGTTTGGAACTAGTCCATGTGTCTCCTTTCAGACTACCTGAATCTCGGGATTTCCCCACATTCAGCATTGCAGAGTAGAACAGGGGCCTGATTTCTTAGTGTATCATTAGAGTAAAGCGTGCTGAAAAGCCACATGTTGCCACTTGGTTTCACCAATCAGTTTTGGTTAACTGCTGCTCTGTAAGCTTCTTTCAGTAGAGTCATTTGGGTGACTGAGCCTCTTAAGAGGGTTTCTTTTTCCTTTTTATATCCTTCTCTTTTTCAGTCATGCAAAAGTAACAAAGTATTATGCATAAGGTAGACAAACCCAGAAAATTATTCTAAGAACTCAAGACGTCAGCTCCCTTTGAAGCCCTTGTGTGAATCTGAGTGAATTAGTCTCAAGAGACTCTGCACACCCTTCCCTTGAGTGGGTGACATGATGCCCTCCATTCCCTGTGGCTGCAAAAGAGGACTGCCTAGGAAGGTGCCCACAAGCAACTCTGAAGCCTAAAGTACTGTATGCATGCTTGCCAGTAATTCTATCTCAACTTTGGTTAAGGCAATTATTTCTTTGCTGTCTTCTTTCTTAAGATGTCCAGATAAAAATGACATAGGGGATTAGAAGACAAAAAGCTCAAAATGAGCTTAAGGTCACTTGGTTGCCAACAAAAGCAAATGCAAGCATTGACTGTGGTCACATATACAAGTCCACACCAGGAGATAATATCTATCCAGCTGTGTCACACACTGACCAGATCATATCTGGAGTCCTGTTTTCAGTTCCTAGCATAAAAACATGGGAGGAAAAACAAGACAATTTTGGCACACATATTTTTTTGTGTGTGTGAGGAAGATCAGCCCTGAGCTAACATCCATGTCAATTCTCTTCTTTTTGCTGAGGAAGGCTGGCCCTGGGCTAACATCTGTGCCTATCTTCCTCCACTTTATATGGGATGCCGCCACAGCATGGCCTGACAAGCGGTGGTGCCTCGGTGCGCGCCCGGGATCGGAACCTGGGCCGCCAGCAGCAGAGCACACGCCCTTAACCGCTACGCCACGGGGCCGGCCCCTTGGCACATATTTTAAAATTTCAGAAACTATATTTTTCCTATAAATACTCTAGTAATCTGAAACCATAGGACTCCTCTCAAGTATGTGTAAGAAAACAAAATCAGATCTTGGTATATGAACCCAGCCAAAGTTTACCCAATGTCACTTTGCTGGTAAGAACTTAAAATGGTCCTCAAGACTTTATGGGTGTAAAACTGATTTAAAAAAAATACTACCACAGATGTAGACTTTTGGAGGCATAATGATGAGCATGCTTTGCATATGAAAGAAAGAAACATTCAGGAGTGCCCTAAAAGTTACCCATCTAGATTGTGATCTGCAAAGATGTAGGATTCAGGA